CCTCAACTACACCAAGGAGCTGAATTAGCCCAAAAAACTAGCTGCTATACTGAAAATCCAGATAGACGCACTAGATTTTTTTTTAACTATGTTCAATATTTTACATGATATTGTAGTACAAAGTCAAATAGGAATCAATTAAATTATTCAATTGAAAATCAATTGGAACTTGTTCAAATTTAACTGAAAGTCATTTTCTTACAACGCAAAACTATATAAAACAGCTCACTTTGTTCTCTGGAGGCTAAACCAATTATTCAAATACCAAATGGTAAAAACTACAAAAATCCTTAATGGAGATTATGCTTGTGGCTGTGAAATTCATGGTGAATCGGGGGGGGGAATTTTTCTTACACTAACATTTTTGTTAAAGATTAAAAAAATATCGTTAATCCCGAAGCAAAAATGATAATCTTGCATTTAATGAACCCGTTGCCTGATGTGAGCTGTCTTTGCATTCCGAGCCTGTTTTGTTTGCTGAGGGGGATAACGGTTTGCAAATCAAGATAAAAAGCCTTGACCTGTAAATGACAAAGTGGAGTGTGAAAGAACTGTGGGTTTCATTTGCACTCGGGTGGACCCGCATTGTCTGAAAGATGAGACGTGTGAACGGCGGTTTTTTGAAGTGGCTAACGGGAAACTCTGACTCTTTCACACCTCAGAGGAAACAAAGTAACCTGTGCAACGGCTCTGCTGGGGAAAGGTGGAGTGCAAAAAGGAATCTCACCGCAGTCTTTGTGGAAGACGTGAGGGAAGCAGTGTAGGACGCCGTAACCACAGCGACAGTAGGAGCAGCCCTTCTGGACCCACTCACCGTGAGGAATAAAGTCACACATCCTGCAGAAAAACAGAGAGAAAAAAACACTTTTAGACCAGGACAAGTCTTTTGTTTGGACTGGACTTGTTTTCACTTATTGGGTGGATGGGCAACAGTTCCTGTGTATGAACACAGAATGCTAGAATCATGTCAGTCAGACATACAGAACTAACGTCAGGAACTTTATTCCAGATAAACCACCACAGTGATGCTTTTATTAGCTTATCATTATATGCACCGCTAAGATCAGTCAAAAAGTTCAGTAATGAAAATAAATCATTCAATAGGAATGTTCATATAAAAAAAAAGAAACTTGCAAGTGCAAGTTAACTAGTGAAGTTGATGGAAATGAGATTAAATTCTATACTTAGAAAAAAGTAAAGGAAAATATTCATTCGGAGCAGTAACGACCTAATTCAGTGTTTTTTCTCAGATATTATGGGTGACACTTTGGGGTAAAAGTGTGAAATTTATAAAAATAATTTTCATGGCTCATGTTTCATTTAACCATCACAAACCTATTTTACATAAATCAGTATAATCAGTGGAAAACATGCTTCAGCAAATGGTTGAGCTGGATGGTAAAGGGCTAAACTGACATTAGGTAAACACATTAGGTAAACCCTAAAAAGGGCTAAAATGGTCTAACCTGCTCTGCATATGCACAAAATCCAATATTTTCAGAACTTTGTGTTAGAAAACATGAAACAGATGACATAGAAATACATACATAAAACCACATTCCTGGCATTTACAATTTTCCTGACTGAATTAAAAATCAGCCAATAAGATTCAAGCACTATTAGTTATTTACATTGGGTGGAGTTATGTAGCTACAGTAAGACATTCACATACTGTTGCTCTGCTCTAATAATATCTGTATCTTAAAACGGGAGCACCATCTGAGAGAATCCCTTTACAAGTAACAATATATAGCTAAATTCAGCTAAATTTACTTTACTTTTTTTAAATGCAGTCCAGAACATTTTAAAAATTCTATTTTGCTCCAAGACATCTGTGTGTAGGGACAATAATGATGCAACGATAACCTGGTCGAGTCGAGATGAAACTCTGCTTTAACCACATTTCTGATGCCAGGGAGCTTTATTCCAGCTGAATACGGTTGGAAACGGGATGATTCAGATTCTCTGCTCACGTACCTGTGGCGCGTGTCGTACTCGCAGCTCCTGCCGGTGAAGAACGGAGGGCAGGCACAGAAGCTGCCCAGGATGCAGGTTCCTCCATTCTTACAGCAGCTGCGACTCTGCTCGGCACCTTAGAGAAGAAAAAAAGACGATTTCAAACTGTTATTCTTTCAAAAATATCTAAAAACGAAGGTTTGTCTTTTTAATTGAAATAATCTTACAAAAAAAACACAACTTTTGCTCAATTTAAACACAAAAAATGTCTGTATTTCAGTATTTAATGTGATGTTTCGGGGCCGGGGGGGGGTTAGGTTTGTCGCTATGATTTTGGTGAGAGCTCTGGGCTTCTGCTTCTATCTGTATCTGTGAAATGAAACAGAGCCTCCAGCTGGCAGTGCATTCCAGCGCCCCTCTGTTTCACATCAGTAAACACCGGGAAGTCTGAACAAACATTTGAAAATAGCAGCAACACTCTAGATCTGAGCTGACGGGGTCCTGGAGCACCAGCTGACTTTAGTTTTGGGATTAGTTTGGACCAAAAGCTGACAGAATGTCTGAAAAAGACGAAAACATCCATGTTGGCTGGATATTTTCAGCCATGTACAGTGACCAATTGTATTTTTCTTATAAATAAAACACATTATTGTTCAACAGGATCCTATAGAGAGATCAATAAGATAAGAAAATCCTAATTCAAATGATTTCCTTAGAGACAGTATAGCTGTTTTGAGGTGTAGTTTCTGTCTGTTTGGGGTAAACTGATGGATTCCTGATCCGAACCCAAACCCATCCGTCTGTGTGTGTGTGTGTGTGGGGGGGGGGGGGGGGGGGGGGTGGACCTACTGTTGGTGAGGCCGATGAACGGCAGGACGGCGCTGGCGTCGCGGTGTTTACGGTCCCCGCTGTTGGGGGCGTTCACCTGGGCAAACCGGCCCAGGAAGTCCTGCGACGCTCGCCTGGCCCCCGGCTGAGAGGAGGTAGAGGAGGAGGAGGAAGAGGAGGGCGAGGAAGAGGAGGTCTGAGCTCCACTATAATCCTTTCCTTCACAATCTGGCAAGAAAAAGTCATTTTTGTTCATTTTTTAAAAGTTCTCCACTGGAATTCGTGTAACATTTTAGAACATTCTGACTTTATACAAGTAATTGAGATGGACGTTGGCCCCAATCCACTCATGCCAACATCTAAATGAAGTGACTGGTAATTAAACATAACCACAATTGAGATAAATCATGAAGATTTCTCTAGATTTTTTAATTGTACTATAGAGAATATATGAACTAATGTAATGCAATCTATGACAACTAGCAACATATGAAGATTACATTTTTTTTTATTTAATAGGAATAAGCCATATGGACAATTAATTATTTAATATTTGTTTTATATCCGTGATACCTGTTGGATTAGTTTGGTTTTTATCTGTGTAAATTAACTAAATCAACGTCCAAATACCATATATTTGCAAGGAAAACACAGTTGATGGTTGCAGGGTGTTAAATCATTGATATGATCCCTGAAAACTACAATCTCCATCTCCAGTGAGAGGCAGCAGAATAGAAACGGTTTTCAAACCTGAGGCAGGAGGAGCAGCAGCGGTCTGGAGACACATCAGGGTACAAACAGCAAGCCTGAAAAACAGACAAATCATCTCAGTTAACCCCAAAATTATCCCAAATCCTTTTTTTTAAATGTCCTCGAGTCTCTGGACTCACCTGAATATCTGCCCCCGTGCCATCTTATTGCAAATATAGATCCAAAAAGGGGTCTGAAAGGCTCCTTCAAAGTTTCCCAGAAATAATCCAAATGCAAAAAGTCGAAATAGGGTTGAAATAAAAAAAAAATTTGTAGCTCCTGCAAATAAGAAAGTAAAGATCGTTCATTGGGTGAAAAAGAAAAAATCAGCACGCGTTTTCCTTCAATTTGACCCCATTTCTCTCAAGTTTTGGAAAGCGTAGTCCCAAAAACGAGCCCAAACAGCCGAACAGATCAGAATCCTCCCGGGAAGCAGTGGTCGGTCTTCCGGCAGAAAAGCGTCTCCTTTTTCCTGATCGCTCCAAACATCTTATGGTCGCCCCCCAGGTGATTCAGCCCCCGGGAGGGGCCGCCGGGGACACGCCCACCCCGTGATTCTCAGTCCGGGGACACGCCCACCCGGTGATTCTGGCTCTTTGGACACGCCCACCCGGTGATTCTGGCTCCGGGAGGGGCCCCCGGCCCCCGGGGGCCGCTTCCGCCTGTCTGCCGGTCTGAATCCACAAAGATGGAAACCCATTGCGCCACAGAAGAGTTCCAGGTGGTCTGGTTTTCCACAAGAGAAGCCATTTGACCTATTTTCGGTTTTCCCCCACAGAAAAAGTCAGTTTCTCTCTACTTGTTTCCCTCCACAGTCCAAACTGAAACCAATCTAATATTTTCTGCAGTTTGAAATCTTAAAAAATAATGAAATAGGAATAGGCATCCGTCATAATATCATTAAATCATCTCATTTTAAGGACCTTTAATTCCAGTAGGCAATTTTTTCCTTTTCCTTTTATCTCTAACTATCTCAATTGTTGCTCAACTGCATGTTTTAACACCAAATATTCTAAAACTGAATCTGTTTTCATACTTTATTTAGGATATGGTCTTAAAGAACGTTCTTTCTTTAATCGTGAGATGATATTAAGTTTGAATTGAATGATTTATGATGTGAAACTCTGAAACTCTAACTCTCTCAATTGTTGCTCAACTGCATGTTTTAACACCAAATATTCTAAAACTGAATCTGTTTTCATAATTTATTTAGGATATGGTCTTAAAGAACGTTCCTTCTTTAATCGTGAGATGATATTAAGTTTTAATTGAATGATCTATGATGTAAAATTCAGCCTATAAGGTTCCCCCCCCTCTTTTTTCTCAGTGTAGTTCCTTATTTTTTCTCACCCATCTGTCCTCCTTCCACGTGCGTGCTACCTTGTAACCCCCACCCCGCCTCACCTCCCTGCCTCTCTGTCTGTTCATATGCATGTACGTTAAACCCCACTCACCCCCCCACTCCCACATTCAAGTGTTAATGACCCCGCTGCTACAAAGAAATCCACCACTATCCAGAAAAATGCTCCATTATTTCCATTTATCTTTAGTCGTACAGAAACTTTGCATAGAATGCAACATTCCCCATGTCATATTTTGTCCTAAAGCACTAAAACACAGACAAAATGTATCTTTTTTTGTCTTTTCAGGTGATTTTTGACCCCCAGTGAGCTGGTGCCATACGTTATTGAAGTGTGTGTGGCGTCCCTCTATTCAGACAGTTAAGCTATCTGTGAGATGAGTCTGATGTCTCATCCAGGCCACAATCCTTTTGTGCTGACCAGTGTATCCCCCTGCCCTAATAAGTTCAATGGATCCTGTCTGATAGCCGGCGATGTGTCCAAATACCGGCGTTTCCAGAAACAAGCCCGCATCCCATTAGCTCCCGGGAGAGAGGTGTGTGTGTGTGTCTACAGCTCAGCAGGTCAAAGCGAAACACTGCTGGTTTCTGATGAGCTCCGTCTGAGACGGGTCAGATACCTGCGTCTGCCATTTCTGACCGGACACCACGTGACAAGGTTCAAAAGTCACAATCAGTCTTTTATTCATGTCAATTTTGGGGTCAGAGGGACTTTTTCTGTTGAACTTAACTGAGTTGTGCCCATATGTAAAATCCTGAGAAGATCCACTACATGCAAAACACAATTTGTCTAAAGAACAAAATGGATAACACCATTATTTCCAGTTTTGTAAATGTGTTTTTTTAGAGCTTTTTTAGAACTTGGACCTTTGAAGTGCTTCCTGGTAATTAATGGAATGCAAAGGAGTCAACACATTATGCATTTTCTTCTAGAAACATTTTTGAAAACTTCAGGACTGCAGTTCCTTTATAATAGTACTGAGATTTATGGTATAGTGATCTGAAATTAAAACATTACAGCTTATTGAACCCCAGGGTCCAGACCCAGATCAACATCAATAGCAAATCTTTTCAACTTAACTCATCTCTTGGGTCATTTTTGTGGAAATTAGTCCATGGAGTTTGATCTTTTCCATGGAAAAAAAGACGGACAACATGATAATGAAGGAAACTGAAGTGACCAAAAAAACTCCCAGATAGTGGTAACAACACAGCAGAATAAATCTCTCCAAACCTGACAGTGAAATCAGTGGTTGTAGTAAAAACTGTACTGAACTCTGAGTTTTTCATGCTGAACGAAACCTAAAAAAAACACATACCAATGAGACCTTTTGATACAACTACTGTTGGTTCTTTTCATTGTTCTTCAATGTGTTTACGTCTTTACTTTTGGTCAAATAGTTCAAGCTCAGGGTGGCTGATAAAACGCTCAACTATTTTTAATCTAAAAGTGATATTTATCAAATGAATCCATATTGAAAGATTACATTTCTGTGCTGATCAGCTGCAGGTGAATTTAAGACCTCGGCTCTGACTAAACTAGAACTATCCCCCCTCACCCGCCCCGGTTAATCTGCCTCTGCTCTGACCACTGACCATCAGTGGTGGAAATGGGTATTTTGTAATCTTTGCAGCATCACAATGCGGTCTGATCTCATGCTAATACGCAGCTGGGGAGTCGACAGCAGGAGGGACTGCCCACGCTGAGTTCAAGAGGGAATCTGCATCTGAAAGTTCACAGACCGCCCGGAGGGGGGAGGGGGGGGGGACGGGCCCGCTCACATGTTTGACAATGTCTTATCCCAAGGCCTTGATAGTACTTTTGCAAATTTATCAACGCTGTAATTTTTCATCAGATTCATTTGTAAAATACATTTTGGGACAAATGTTTCATTAATGCAGATAATTGAATCGATAAAGATACCAATTGTGCAATAATCTAATGCCATTTTGTCCTTCAGTGTGCACTGTCCACCCAAATACACAAGGGGTGAGTGTGGAATGGAAGAATGGAGGAGAGGAGTACAGGAGAAATGGAAATTACAAATTGATCCTGAGATTTCTACGTATTGACTTTACTGACACAATGATGAATTTTAATCAGTTAGAAAGTCTATATTTAACTTCCATTTCTATCGTGTATTTCTTTGGGGAAATGTGGGTATAACTATAGTCGATACACAAACGTTCTATGTGTATGTGGGAATGAAAGCGGTTCTTTCAGACTTTTTGCTATTTTATTTTACTCCGAAGCTTGACAGTTTTCACAAAACAATTCAAACAATTCCTAGTTTGCTACTGTCTTCTTTTGTATGTTCGAACAACCAAAATAAGCTTTAGTTTATCAATTAGCGGAGTGAAGCTCTGGAACAGCTTGCCTGAAAACATTAAACAATGTTAAAGCATCTAGCAATTCAAAAAAGAATATAAGAAAAGTATTTTTGATGAATACAAAAAAGACTAATATATAAAAAGTTGGTATACTGTTTGTCTTACTGTAGATAATTGTCCTTTACCACCATGACACATGTGACTAGGGGTAGGGTTTAATAAGCTTATGCTTCATCCTACTCCTTTTTTAAACATGTTGCATGTTTATGAAGCATTCAATGTAAACATTGTTAAATCATATCATGTTTTAAAATAAATTAAATAATAAATAAATTTAAAATAATTAAATGAAATTATTTTCCTCAGCAGGGTGTTTCAGTCTAAATAAATCTTGTGAATTGTTTGCTTGCAGGAGTGTTCAAATAAGAAACTAAATTATTACGGGCTCCCGGCCCTTTCACAGCTCTGGGATGGTTCCAACTGGTTTAGAAAAGGAAGGAATTTAACATTTGGACTGTTCGTAAGATGGAATGCAACTAATTTAGCTTAATTAACTACTGCTTCCCAAAACCAGAAACTGTTTACGTCATATTATCTCTATTCAAATGTATTCATCACAAGATTCCCCCTGGAGCTTTCTGAGCTTATTAACTGTAGTTCCTTTCAAATACTTTTCACACCCTTCTGATTTTATTCTGGTAATTGTCTAAGTAACAAAATCAGGTTAGAATGCTGTGACAGCTGCTCACTGGGCTCTAAACCAGATGTGATCCAGCTGCAGAACCTCCAGAATGCTGCTTCTACAGTTCTGACCAGAACCAGGACATACGACCACATCAGTCCAGTGCTCAGGTCTGTGTTCTGGCTTCCTTTCACTCAGAGAATAGACTTTAAAAGAGGTCTGCTTGTGTATAAGTCTCTTCATTGTCAAGTCCCAAAGTCCATTTCTGGCATTTTAGAGCCGTATGGACCATCTGGGACTCTGAGAACCTCAGGTTCTGGTCTCCTGCTGGTTCACAGAGTCAGAACTAAAAAGAGGCGAGGCTGCGTTTCAGTTTTTTTCTCCTAAAATCTGGAATAGTTGAGACAAGCCTCAACTCTGAGAATGTTTAAATCCAGGCCAAAAACAGTTCTGTTTAACTGTGTATATGAAAACTGAAAGCATTTTATCTGAACTCTTAATTTCTAATCTATTTAAACTATTATTGTTTTATTTTGTTGAACTTTTTCTTAATTTTCTTCTTTTAAACTCTATTCAAAGCATTTTCAATCGTCTTGAACACGAAATGCGCAGCAAAAATGAACCTGCCTCGCCTAAATTGAATGACTGTGTCTCTCTCTAGTGTTCGCTCCATGAATCCCAGCCAGCAAAAAAAGCAGCACTCCTCACTGTGTCTTTTCTGCATCATCCCACCTACTATGCAGGCTTCCAGATAAAGTAAGTTATCAAGGGTGGGGTTTTGTTTACTGTACAAACATAGCAATGTCAGAATTAGGTTGATGTTTTTTAAGAAGACAGTTCTCTTACTTTGCTTATCTACTCAAAATGTTTCCAGTTCTGCAAGATAATTAAGCCCATGGCTTTTTTATGTTGGAGTGAAACCTAAATTTATTGGAGCATTTGCATGGAACTGAAAAAGGCAAGCTTTTCCAACTTAACAAGGAACTTCTTTTGATTATTATTGTTTGGAATCATCGGGTAAAGTTTAAACTCTGAACAGAATTTTAGAGGAGCATTTAAACGCGTGACTACAGGATGACGAACAGAAAAAAAAGAAAACATAATGGTCTATTTTGGTTGACATAATACTAACTTTTCTTCACAATACTGATCAAAAGATCCAGACTATTTCAAATGTTCCTGTTTAATATGCTGTTGCATCATAGATCTGATTCCTGTATCAGGCAAGATACAGTCTGTCATGGTTTTAATTTTCAAAAGGTTTTAATATGGAAATTTGATGATTGAAAAAAAAAAACCAACATGTCATAAGTAGACAACATGATTGACATGAGGGACATGAGACATGATTGAAAACCAGAACTTTGACCAACACACACACGGGGGATTGTGGAGCTCAGACCGGCAGCCACTGGGTCCCACAGAACACACACACACACGCTCAAAATAAAATCCTTTTAAAAATAAATGTCAAACCATCTGCAATTTTCACTGCTTGAAATGGGCAGCGACATTTACCGACCGGGGAAAATTCCAACTCACGATTTAACATTTACTTACAAAATTCACATGAATGAACTCCAGGAGTGAAAGAGAATAAATGGACCTCCATGTGGTCATGAAGCAAAAGCTTTTTATTTGAGGATGCAGTTTCTTGCGAGACGTGTGTGATGTAGGCCTATTCCACACACTCACCATGGGGTCATTAAAGGCTAGCACAGCTAAATGCCGAGCATTTGAAAGCTTTATTAGACAACTAACACACACTTCTGCATGTTAAAAACACACATATGGAAACTTGGTTGTTTTTCAGCAGCGAACACGTAAATTTTATTCAAAGTTGCCATCAAAACTAGTCGTGTTTCTTTATCACAGCTTGAACACCCCCAAAAAAGGGAGAATTTGGAGAATTTCTTGTTTCTATTACTTCCAAAAGATGAAATACCTCACATTTTGTAATGAATTTATCAGTCTTTGAATCTTTTATTCCCAAAGGGGGGGTGGAGCCTGTCCCAGCAGAAAAAGGGCAATAGGCATGCTACACCTTGGACGGGTCCAGTCCATCGCGGGGCCACACAGAGACACACAACCACACACACTCACATCCATGTTTTTTTTTGTTATGTCTTGGTCTTGTCATTTCCTGTTTTATTTTGAAACAGTAACCCTACTCTAGCTCTTCCTCTTGTGCCAAAAGTCTGTCTTCCCTAATTACTGATTGGGTCCACCTGTTCCTCGTTTCTCCTCATGTGTTCTTTCAGTCTGAGTCTGGTGCCAGAGTTTTGCTTGGTAGGTCATTTTCTAACGTCCTTTTCTCGTCACGTGAGTCTCAGTCTTGTTTTGATTTAGTTCTTACCAATAAAGAGTTTTGTTTTGTTAATTTTCAGAGCCTTTTGGTTTTTCCTTCTAAGTGGAGTGATTATTTTTTCTGTTGTACTGTTTTATAGCTTTGTTTTGATAGCTCTATCCTGTTTTGGGGAATGATTATTTTCTCTAATGTGTCATACTTTGTATTTCTGATTAGCAGGGGGATTTTCATAGTAATTTGCTGGTCGTGTTGCTTCCATTTTTTTGAGAAATCTTAAGTATCTTTTCATGGCTTTTTAAAAAAAAATTAAAAAAATGTTCAACTTTGGAGAACAAATCAAGACCACTGTTCACCTGAACCCGGATTAAGACAGGGGGGCCATTAAGAATGTCCAATTAACCCAGCATGCATGGTTTTGGATGCTGGGAGGAATCTGGAGAACCCCCGCAGACACGAGGAGAGCGTGCAAACTCCACACAGAATGATCCCGGTTTCCCCAGGGACTTGAACCAGGACCCCTCTTACTGTGAGACGATGCTAGAAACCAGCACACCTCTTTTTTAATCCTCAGAATAAGTCACATTTCTGTGTGCACTAGCTTCCATCTATCCATTTACAAAAAGGCTCACGAGGCAGCTGAGGCAGAAACCAGCTGTCATTGGTTGAGAGGGTGCATGCTGGTCCATCAAAAGGACTCCTGAAGAAGACACAGACAATCACCCATCTAAGGGTTTTTTTTAGATGGTAGAATTAAGCTGGGATACCCAGAGAGAACGCACATGTAAAGGGAGAACAAACGCACACATTAAGGCCACAGCCAGGAGCAGAACTCACAACCATCCTGTAACCACCTCACCAGCATGTAGCCAATCCACAACATTTTGGGATTAGGGATGGATCTGACATTAAAAAGGAGTGATTTTTTTTTTTTAAAACAAAAAAACTATTCCTTCAAATAAAAAAGAAAAAGCAACAGAATTCACCCTGTAGCCTGGGAGCTCTAAATATTTTTAACAGATTTAACTTTCTACATCTGAGTCTGAAACAAGGTCTGTGTTTCTTCAAGTACCCTAAAAACAGGGAGAATATATGACACTGTAATATTATATACAATCTGACTTTACAGGCTGAAAATATTTAAAACAATACCTGACTGATAACTTTGCTTCAAGTGAAAGGAGAATTTGCAATTTTGTTGGAGAAGACATGATAAATGAAAGGTGTTTGGCAATGTTGCCATTTTTAAAGCATTACTTTTCCTCCCATAATTACATAAAATGAATTGAACATCAGTATTTATACCACAGTTCAGTGGGGTTTGCTATGGGAAATTTAACAGTAAACCACAACCATGCAAACCACATATTGTCCATGTTACCTTTAATACCTCAAACTACTTATTTGTCTATAAATAAATTAATTTTGATGTACATTAAAACAAAAATGACGCCTTGTAATTTTGAAGTACACTTCCAGTATATTTCTCTCTTTGACTTGACTTTACCAACCCAACAAAGTATAAAAAATGCTTAAACATTGGGAACGTTTTTTGACACGTTAAACAAAAAATGCATCTTATATTAAAATAAGATGAAAATAGGCAGTCAAGCTATTTTTTCCCCAACATAACATTCTAGAAGCAGAGATCAGAACAGGAATCATTTTTGTTGCTTACTGTCACGAGGTGGCAAAAGCAGAAGGTGTTGAATGTTAAATCTAGACTAAATCTCACTTGTTTTTGTGAAAATATTCAATTCAATTCAATTTTATTTCTATAGCGCCACATCACAACAACAGTTGTCTCACAGCGCTTTCCAAACAGAGCAGGTCAGACCCTACTCTGAAGTTAATTACAGAAACCCAACAATTCCCAGCATGAGCAAGCACTAGGCGACACAGGCAAGGAAAAACTTCCTTTTAACAGGCAGAAACCTGGAGCAGAACCATGGCTCAGGGTGGGCGGCCATCTGCCTCGGCCTTCAAATATGAAGAGTAAGAGAATAAGAGTGACTGGTTTTAGCCTTTCCTTCTCGTTTTGACGTTCATATGACTTTTTGTTCTCATTCCCACAGAGTCGTATTGCTTTGCATGTTTGAAAATGTTCGGGCTCTTAATTTGGAAGCGTTCGAGTGCAGATTTAAATCTTGCTCTGCAGTGTTCGAGAACCTGCCAATAAATTAGAAACAAAACTCAAACAAGACAAGATGGTGGTTGGACATAGGCTAGACTTTCTGTACTATATAAGTAAACTGATACCTAGTCCCCCTTTCCCCATGATATTCATTAAAAAAAAAGTTCAGAATATCCAGGAAACTTTCAACTTTCTTCTTCTTCCTCTTCTTCTTCGTCTTCTTCTTCTTCTTCATCATATTTCTCCTCCTCCTCCTCGTCTTCAGCGTCTTTGTCCTTTGCGGGGGTCTTGGTCATCTTCCAGCTCAGCGTCCACTGGTGGGGGGGCATGGCGTCCTGCTCCTGCCGGACCCCCGTGCACCTCTGGCTGCGGTGCTCCATGGAGAAGCACAGCACCTCGTCCTCGTCCGGCCTCCTCCACCGACAAATCCTCCACGACTCCCTCCAGGCTCGCCCCCCCGCCGCCGCCTCCTCTTCCTCCTCCTCCTCCTCCTCCTCTTCCTCCGTCCGGTGGGCCACCGCCACGGCGCAGGACTGTTTCCAGCCGGAGAAGGAGGCATTGAGCTTGTGGAACTGCAAATGGAGGGGGGCGTCGGGTCTGCGTTTGGCTCCTCTCCGTGGTTTCTTCTTTTCGGCTTTAATGGCCTCTGTTTTTGCCGTCACTTCCTGTTCTTCTTCACCAGCCTCTTCCTCCTCTTCCTCCTCCTCCTCTGCTTCACTGACCGTGTCTTTGTCACCATTTTTGTCCGTTTCTTCCTTCTCGTCCTCATCATCCTCAGCTTCATCCTCCTCTTCTCCATTTTGGTCGTCATCCTCCTCTTCATGGTCTTCCTCATCCTCCATCTCTGCAAGTTTGTGGTCACCTTCCTCCCTTCTGTATTTGGAGGGAGCTTTGTTGTCTTCCTCCACATCCGCTTCATTATCCAGCATTTCTTCATCATCTTCCTTGTTCTTCTCGTTTTGATCTATTTCTTCTTCATCATCTTCTTCGTCCTTCTCATTTAGATCTATTTGTTCTTCATCTTCTTTCTGGTCCTTCTCATTTTGATCTGTTTCTTCATCTTCCTCCTCATTTGGATCTATTTCTTCATCATGTTCCTCGTCCTTCTCATTTTGATCTATTTCTTCATCATCCTTCTCATTTGTATCTATTTCTTCTTCATCATCTTCCTCATCCTTATCTGTTTCTTCATCATCTTCCTCATCCTTCTCATCTTGATCTAATTCTTCATCGTCTTCCTTCACATTTTTCTCTGAATCTTCCACATCATCATCATCTTCCTCCATTTTTGCAGGCTTGTCACCTTCCTCCATTTTGCCAGTATGAAGTTGATCACCTTCCACCTCATCATCATCATCATCATCATCATTATCAGCAGCTTCATCATTTTCATCTTCCTCATGGTCTTTCAATGTTTTGTTTTCTTCTTCAGCTTCATCGTCCTCATCTTCCTCAAGGTCATCTCTTTCCTTCTTCTCGTCTTTTTTGTTTTCATCCTTGTCCTGCATATTACTGTTCACCTCGTCATCTTCCTCCTCTTCCTCCTCCTCCTCGTCATCCTCATTTTCCTCCTGGTTTTCTTTAACTTCTCTCTCTTTCTGCCAGTTGTTATCTTCATCCTCTTCTTTTTTGTCAATTGTTTGTGTGTTTTCGTCCCCTTCCTCCTCTTCATCGTCCTCTTCTTCAGTATCTGTATTTATTTCCTGTTTTTCATCAACTGCTTCTCCTCCTTCTGCATCAAAGAATTCTTCCTCTTCATCATCTTCGTCATCATTGCTCTCAGGGTCTAACTCACTGTCCTGGTTTTTGCTCATGTCATCGTCTTTTGTTTTCTTCTGCACCGCCTTTTCGTTACCGTTGTTAGAATCGTCTTGTTCTTCCTCTTCCTCACCTTGTCCTTCCTCCTCCGACTCTTTTTCTCCTTCCTTATCTGAATTATCCGCACCATGAACCTCTTCATCCCTCTCTTCTTCCTCCCTCTCATTCTCTTCATCCTCCTCATCTAAATCTTCCTCCCTTTCTCCTTTTTCCTCCTCCTTTGCCACATTCTCTTCCTTGACATTTTTGCAACTTCTCTCCTTGTCAACATCATCCTCTTCTTCCTCCTCCTCCTCCTCCTCCTCCTCCTCCTCCTCCTCCTCTTCCTCCTCCTCATCGTCATCATTTTCCTGCTGCTTCTGCCATTGGTCAGTCCTGTGTGTTTGTTCCGCTTCTCCATCTTTTCCTTCTCCATCCAGTTCTTCTTCATCTCTTTCTTTATCGCTGTTTTTCTCTGATTTCTTCTCGTCATCATCATTATCCTCCTCTTCCTCCTCTTCTTCTTCCTCCTCCTCTTCCTCATCCTCCTTAGCTACATCACTGTCCTCATCTTTCATCTTGTCTTCTTTGATGTTTTTCTCCTCTTTTTCCTTTTCCGTTTCATCTTCTTCTTCACTGCTTTCCTCTTCCTCACTGTCTTTTACATCCTTGTCTTTCTCTTCCTCTTCTTCTTCCTCAATGCTCTTCTTCTCATTTGAATCATTAGTTTTGTTGTTCATACCATCTTCATCCTCTTCCTCTTCCTCATCTACTCCTTCATCCTCACTCTCATTTTCTTCATCATCCTCCTCGATCTGCTTGTCAACACCTCTCAATTTTTCTTCATCCTCTTCCTCCTTCTCTTGTTCCTCGTTCTCCTCACCTACACTGATAGTTTCCTCTTCTTCATCGTCTTCATTCTCTTCCTCCGCCTCCTCCTCCTCTTCGTCCTCTTCCTCTTCCATTCCTTCATCTTTCTCCTCATCCTCATCGCCCACTCCTTCATAATCGTCTTCATTCTGTGTTCCATCTATCATCTCTTCGGCATCCTCCTCCTCTTCCTCCTCCGAATCATCTTCATATGATTTTCCTAATGTTTTGGGAGTCTTCCAAGCCTCCAGCCACTCTGTGTGATCTATAACTTCCTCATCCAGCCCGGATGTGAGGATGTTGTTCATAGTTTCCCGTCTCTTGGTCAGCATGTTGCTGTGACGGTGATGGGAGTTTATGGAAGCCTGCTGCCACCTGGATTTACAGACAAAGCTTGGATTAGTTACAGTTATGAATATTAATCTTGTTTATCTTATTCAATCTTAAGCATTTTTAAGATATTCTTGATCTTTGAACCATAGCTCACAACCATTAAATGCATTGTATTTTAGGTTGTTTCAGTGATGGGTTATCAGTACAATAACAGGATCATTTGATGTTGTATTTTATCACTGGGTTGGCTTAAATGCAAGTCAAGATGTTTATCTCTCAAAAGCCTCCTTGTTTGGATAAAGAGACCTCTAGTCTGCAATCTGTAACAGGGAGTGAAACACAAACTGAAATATTGAGATAAAATTAACATAAAACACAGGTGGGTGACAGTGTGACTGGGTCTTGAGAGCACATTACATCTTCTGAGTTCCAACATGTCATAAAACCGCCAGATTAGATGTAGACCAATCAACCAAAAGATTATGATCTGATTTGAGCACATGATCATTATTATCTGTCCAAAGAATACCTGAAGGTGCCCAAAAGCTAAAGTGTCTTTAGCTAAAGATCGTTGTGGCCCAGTGGGTTGTGACGAGGGTCATGTTTGGGCCTTGCTTCCCAGATTATTATCGGGGGAGTTTAAAGGTCACCTCGGGCTCTACGTGTCTCAGTTCTGTCTCGGTGAAAACCTGCTTGTCAGGGAGGGGTGTTGCCTGAATCTGCAGCTATGGGAGGCGATTGGTCTACAGAAATGTTTGGTAGCTTTTAAGAGGTAGATTTTCCAGGCAGAACACTGGATTAGATTAACATAAGAATGCTCTTCACATTACATTACAGTGGTATTGGCTGGTGACTATGGCATGTTTTAGACAGAAACAGTTTGAGCAGACATTTAAAAAATGATGCAAGAAATCCGAATGGCCAACAAACTCAAAAAAACATAAATTGATTGAATGAATAGAATTTTAAGATTGGTCAGCAAATTGTTTTACCACACTTTTACATGACCTCTTCTTATTACACTCACACACACACACACATGGTATAAAAACAAAAGTGGCATATTGACACTGTTCAACAATTAGCTAAAAGCGGCAATTCATATTTGTACATGTTGAGTCATAATTTGTATTCTTGACGTTCTTTCTTTTCTGACTCCACTTGTACAATCTATTTCTCTTCCTTGGCAATTAACCCTTCCTAATCCCAATCCCCACAGAAATATTACAAAATGGAATGCTGCTATAAAAGCAGATAACTACTCAAGCATCCATTCTTACCAGCAAACACAAACACACACACACACACACACACACAAACACACACACACAAACACACTCACACGCACACACACACACACACACACACACACACAGCTTTAAGCTTCTGTATAAGTCTACTCATGGTCTTGACTTTTATGTGATATTATACCTGGTAAAATTTCTACTTTAGTATGAATGTAAAAACTGATAAAACGAATACTGTATTGTTCAAGTGTAAATTTACTAACATAATCCATTGTCACTCATTTAGTTAAAAGCACCTTTCTTGTTTGGCATAAAGCATGGATTAGCATTTGAACTCGCCTGATTTGTTGGCTGTATCCCCAGCAGGAGCTCCAGCTTCGTTGGCGCTCCTCGTATTCTTCAGGAGGAGCAGCAGAAAGGAGCCAGGACCTGCTCCATCCCGGCACGAACACATCATCCATCACCATGGTGACTTCAGTGCTGAAGCTGGAAGTTTGCGTCTCATCGTCTTCATCGCCTTCATCGTCTTCAACGTCTTCATCGTCTTCATCGTCTTCATCGTCTTCAACGTCTTCATCGTATTCATCGTATTCAACGTCTTCAACGTCTTCTGTTTCAGTTCCTACTCCAGACAGTTTCCATGAGTCCTCCCAGTCCGAAAGTTCGTCCTGGTCGATAACCATAAAATGTTATTGTTTCTCAGTCACAGTGCAGAGCAGAGTAAAACAAAACATGGATGAGAGAAAAAGATCCCACCTGGTCCTCCAGCGGTAGAAGTAAGTCTAGCTTGTCTGAATCGCTCCGGTTTTGCTCATAAACGGGCCAGACACAATCCCAGTTTTTCTTCTGTTGTCTGTAGGGGAAGTTCATGAACTTCCACGTGCCAGCCCAGACGGGAAGAGAATATTCCCCCAACTTCACCTTGGCGTACAGATCTTTTACAAACAGAGTCTCCCATTGGAAGTGTTTCTGCTCACAGAGTTCGAGCTGGGCAGGACTCTTCATCTGGAAACAAGAACAAAGAAGAAAAACATGGTTTCTATCTTAGATTTATTTTGTTTCTTGTTTATTTCGAGCTTGATTTTTATTTTATTTTTTTATCCATCCATCCATCCATCCATTATCCTCCGCTTATCCGGGGTCGGGTCGCGGGGGCAGAAGCCGAAGCAGGGAGACCCAGGCTTCCCTCTCCCCGGCCACTTCCGCAAGCTCCTCCGGGGGGATCCTGAGGTGTTTCCAGGCCAGCCGGGACACATAGTCCCTCCAGCGGGTCCTGGGTCTTCCTCTGGGCCTCCTCCCGGTGGGACGAGCCCGGAACCTCCCCAGGGAGGCGACCAGGAGGCATCCTGATCAGATGCCCGAGCCACTTCAACTGGCTCCTCTCCACGTGGAGGAGCAGCGGCTCTACTCTGAGCCCCTCCCGGATGGCCGAGCTTCTCACCCTATCTCTAAGGGAGAGCCCAGCCACCCTGCGGAGGAAACTCATTTCGGCCGCTTGTATCTGCGATCTCGTTCTTTCGGTCACTACCCAAAGCTTGTGACCATAGACGAGGGTGGGAACGTAGATCGACCGATAAATCTAAAGCTTCGCATTTAAGCTCAGCTCCCTCTTCATCACGACAGACCGGTACAGTGCCCGCATTACTGCAGACGCCGCACCGATCCGCCTATCGATCTCACGCTCCCTACCCCCATGCGCGAACAATACCCCGAGATACTTGAACTCCTCCACTTGGGGAAGGACGTCCACTCCGACCCGGAGAAGGCACTCTACCCTTTTCCGGTGAGAGACCATGGTCTCGGACTTGGAGGCACTGATCCTCATCCCAGCCGCTTCGTACTTGGCTGCGAACCGCTCCTTTGAGAGCTGTAGGTCCCGACTTGATGAAGCCAACAGGACCACATCATCTGCAAAAAGCAGAGATGCGATCCTAAGGCCACCAAGACTGACACCCTCAACATCTCGGCTGCGCCTAGAAATCCTGTCCATAAAAGTTATGAACAGAATCGGAGACATAGGGCAACCTTGGCGGAGTCCAACTCCCACCGGAAACGAGTCCGTCTTACTAACGGCAATGCGAACCAGACTCTGACTCCGGTCGTACAGGGACCGAACAGCCCGTAACAAAGGGCCAGGTACCCCATTCTCCCGGAGCACCCCCCACAGGATACCCCGTGGGACACGGTCGAACGCCTTCTCCAAGTCCACAAAACACATGTGGACTGGTTGAGCAAACTCCCATGCACCCTCTAGGACCCCGCTGAGGGTATAGAGCTGGTCCAGCGTTCCACGGCCAGGACGAAAACCACCCTGTTCCTCCTCGATCCGAGACTCGACTATCCGACGGACTCTCCTCTCTTTTTTTTATTTAATAATCATATTTCCTAATTAAATTAAAGTAATCAAAATCAATTCAAAATAGATTAGTTAATCTATTTTCTATTTAGTTGTATATGATTTATGTATTTCTTTTACATGTAGTGGTAGTATAGTATAGTATAATCATTGCCACTATTAATAATACCAATCTAAGTGTTCATTGTGTATTCTTATAAACCTATTTCATATCAACTAGAAGGTTGAATGGAGAAAATAATATTATTATCATTGATAATATCATTAATACAATAGTTATCAGTGTTGTTTTTGTTATTGTTGCTGTAATACAAAAGGAACACAAGATGGAGCAGAAGACAAGCGCACAAATGAGATGCAGTTATGACTGTAACATACATCTATCTATGTCACTCTATCTATGTTGTATCAAGGCCACATTTCACATCTCTGGAATCATTGTGGTGACAAATTACCTTTCTATGAAAACTGACACATCTCCAGTCTCACCTGTTTCCAGGATTGACTCCATTTATAGATAAGACCCATCCACTCAGCTTCTGATCCGCACTGCTGGGCTTTGTACTTCCTGCTGTTGGTCAGCTCTATGGTCGTAAAGCCTGGAAGTCTTGCTTTGGCCTCTTTGGCCTTAAGGTAAAGATACTTTGGGGGTTTCAGGCTTTTCCAGGACTCCCTCCAGCATAGCCGGAACACATCCACCTCTACTTTCCGCTTTTGCCTGTGAAGTTTGGGTGAAGTTGACCTCTTGGGAGGAGGAGGAGTGGGAGGTGGAGGTTGAAATTTGGGTTTCGGAGGGGGAGGAACAATTTTAAATTTGATTTTGGGCTTCTGTTCCGCCTCATTTGTGCTGCTTGTGGCCTTCCTGAAGTCGGACATGTCCCCTTTTCTGTTTTCTCCATTGGAACCAAGTGACCAGTGATAGTTCCACTTTGAGAAAAGACTGTAGGGTGAAATACAAAGAAATGGTAAAATTATGTATTTTGAGGATTAACACAGATGTTTTCTTTGAATCACTTGAACTGTGGTTTTCTCAGATGATATATATATATATATATAAAACCACAAGTTGATTATTTCTAAAAATGTTAAAGAAAGAAAGAAACGCATGTCCTCTAGTTTTCATTTCAAAATATGGTATGTAAAAGTAGATGGCAAATAAATTAAAATAACACTCTTTATATGTTATTGTATCATAAAATATCCAAGTTCCAAATTGACCTTATATACTACTCCCTTTGCTAAAGCGCATAGAGTGATGCATCTTTTAACAACAGATTTTTTCAAAAAATCCAAACTATTATCGCTTTAATTTGGTTTTATATGACCTGGGATGCTACCTGCTGTCAAAAGCTGTCAAATAGGCTTGGAAAAAACAGTGGCAGTATTATTCTATTGTCACTTTCAGTAATATAGTAGTGCAGCATGTTTTGTACTAAGAGAGAGATAAAGGCTTTAATTCTCACACTTTAAGGGAGCTTTTTTCTTTAAATTCAGCCTCCTGTTTGCACTCATCCGCCATGTTCTGGGCTCGCTTTTCCCACTGGTCTCTGAGATTCCCATTGCCGAATGAGCGCTTCTCTTCCTTTCTGGACATCATCCTGTTACCTCTGAAATGGACACAACAGAAGAAATCAGGTAAATTATTACACTCTCTTCATCTAAGTATATCCTCATTGTATAATGGATGACATCTCAAAGTAATTTTCTACTCCAAATAAAACTTGAGGTGACTCTTTAATTACAGATAACCATTTCCAATTCTGCCTCACCAGAACTATCTAACGAGGTATTTTTTTCCAATTCAGTCCAATTAAAAAAAACATTAGTCCTCAATTGGGCAATTACAAGCTCACAAAAGGCTCAAAGGGCAATTGCACACAAGTAAAACAGATAAGTTAAACATAAAACGTTAAAATGGAAAGGCAAATAAATGAAAAGTTAATTAAGGGGATCCATGTTGAGTAACACAGCAACAGGGTTCCCGGGTTCAGTGCAGGGGTGATGATTAACTAAACACCTAAACACTCTAAATTGCTCGTGGAAGGGAGTGTGTTTGTCTCTGTGTGGGTGTGTGATGGACCGGGAGTCGTCCACCACACACACTGTGACAGGCAAGGTGGGTGGACCTCCATTCGTATATTTACAGGACGAACAGTAGAAAAGAGAGGATGCAGCCTTAAGAGGAAACAGTGCAGGTGCTGTTGGTGTGCCACTGTTAGTTATACATAAAGGTTATTTCATAAAATTAGAGAAGCTGGAACACAGCTTAATGTATTGTCATTTAATGGATAAACATAACAATTTAAATTAGCATTTGTATGTGTTTACCGTCAGGTTTGAATCACATAAAAGAGCTCGAATTAAGTTAGCTTTTTCATTTAATTCAGTAAAGTACTGTGTTTAAAAAATATTTTAAACCTTTCATGACAATCCAATCACAGCCTTCCCTTCAGATGCTGTATTTGAGTCATCGGTGGTCTCAGAGCTAAAAGTTACCCACAAAGACAAGGCGCTGAAAGTAAGTGAGTCTATTTCCTGATAATGTGAGCTGTGCCCATTTTATAGGTTCCCCAATCATAGAATTCTGAGTAAAAAATAGCATTACACCTGGGTATTTCACTCTCTTTTATACCTATCTTAACTGGAGGAGATTAAATTCTGCCACGACTGTCATTGTTTGGGACTGAATGTCTTGGAACATTTTACTGACAGATGTCCTCCATCTACTGGAATCTTCAGTTGATATTTTGTGTAAAGGACCTTTGTGAACTTTGAATACATTGCTTCCATCTTTGTTGGTGCTCTGAACCTTTGTGAGCTCCCACTTAGCCTCCACTCTGTAAACACACGTTAGTGTGTGCACTGCCCGTGTACCCAGCTTCTGAATATAACTTTGTCGGAGAAAAATGTGTCAGAACTGATTCTTCCCTCTCTTGTTGACACAGAGGCGATGGAAAACCAGAGTCAAACTCACTCCCAAAGGCTATTTAGATTCACCGACTGCCCTAACAACTTACAGTGTCACAGGACTGTGATTAGAAGCCGGAGTACCTGTATATAATATCTAATAGGCCAACGACCCCCTGGGGATTCAAACCAGCAGCCCTCTTGCTGTTAGGCGACAGTGGTTACCATGACACCACCAGGCAATAAATCTTAATCAGTGGTTTGGAATGGTCTAATCTGTTAGCTTTCCCAGGGGAGTGTCTTGTTAGACATGTGTTCATTTCATCGTGACTCATGACCAACGTCACTGTAAAACTAACAACTCATTAAGATATTTACAAAGTTTTTCTCTCTTTATTCTAATGTTAAAAGATCCTATTGCATCCTATATTTCTGTTGACACATTCTCTTTTACAAGTGGTATTTTTTCTGTTTCAGTCGATTGATGATAAAATGTATGATCAGATTGATATCAAAGAAACGGAAACAGAAAATGTAGTTTTAGTGGACTGAAATATACAGATTGCAACTAGTCTTTGAAAGTGTCTGTGGATGAGCAGAGGAGTCAGAGTTCGTAAAGAGGCTCTGAGCTAACCGGTCACTGGCCGTAATGCCCGAGTGTCTGGAGGATTGACTCTGGAATTTGTCACCGTCTGTGTTAATAAATGAGGCTCACTTAACCAACCAGGGAAGACTTAAAATTAGGAAATGACTGCATGTGTCCACAGCCGCTTCCACAAAAGAAATAATTATCTCAACATGTAATGGGCTTTATTGTTTTGGAGCATGTTGAAGGTTTATTCTTCCCTTTTTAACGAGGTGGTTTCTTTGGGTTAACGGTGAAGCATTTGTTGATATATCTGTCCTGTCCTCTGACCTCCTAACTGTCCATCTTCTCCACTGTCATTCCGTTCCATGTGCCTGCTCAGGACGGGGGGATGACTCAAACGATCCAATACACTGTTGCTCTTAGTTAAGCAGCTTGTGTTAAACTCTCCATTTTATAAATGCAGCAGAAAGGATTTCGACAAACTGTTGTCACTATTAACCAGGTTGAAAAATATAAAAACGTTCACTCTGGAGGTTAAACCTGAACTAATCAGACCATGTGACTTTTTTTTTTTATCCTTGCTCTATATTCTAGTCTTAATGCTCCCATCTCTAATGAATCCTTCCTCTTTTTTATTAGCCTCCCTGAGGAAATTTCAAACACTGTTTTAATTTCACTTTGCTAATTTTGTTACTCGTGTCCAATCATGATCATTTAGGATTTTGCTCCTACACAAAAGAGGAAGCCCTTTTTTATTTCAATTTTTTTCCCATATCTGATACCTATTTCATGTAATATCCATACGTACAGTGACCACCAGCATTTCAGTTTGACACTAAAAATCAGTTTTGATGGCAGTGACATGCAACTCACACACGCTATAGCCCAAGGACGCTGAGACCTTATCCACAGCAGGCATTTTCACATGTCACTCCATGAACCATTTATTTGCTCTAGAACGGTTTACCGTGACCATGAACCAGCATTCAAAACAACACAACCATCCTTCAACACAATATATCTGGATTTAGTGCTGTTGTTTTTCAAAAGGACTGCTGTAAAAAGCTCATTTAGAGGGTTCATTTTTATACCACCGCTCACCTCTCTTACCAGTTTTCTCTGTAAATGGAAATGGAAATAGCACAGCTAATGCCCATGTGAATGGGGCTTGACAACACTGATGGGAAATTGAGGATCAAAATAAAGCATTTAGGTTCTGAACATGGGCGTTTTTCTAAAAAAACAGAAAAAAGATCAGGGCAAAGTACTCGTGTCCATGTCCACTTCAACTGGATGGCTTCAGATGACCCTCAACTTCAGCCAATAGACTTGCTTGCTTTCTCTAAATTAGCGTGATTACCAGCTATTTTTTCTCACTTCTTTATGACCCTGTTCTTAGATATTAGGAGTAAACTCATTTTGATTTAAATAATTAGATATGAAAGTGAAAATACACAGTGTAATTGTACAAGATAAAATAAAATAGTCAACCTGACTTACCTGACGTCTGTCTGGTCTCTCAGTATGTCTTTTTCTTTACATTCCTTTTTGTTATCGACCGCATGTGTTAAAACGAACAAGAGGTAACTCTTTTTCTGCTCTCTCTGTCTGTCTGTCTTTCTCTAATCTCAACACTAGCTTAACAGGAGCACCTCAGTCTGTCTGACTGCTTAAACTCAGAACTCTAAATGTTTGAATTCTGCCTGTTTCTTCAGGTAACTTTTACCCACTCGCACTCGGTCTGTGCCGTATATCTGTTCTAAGTGAGCCGGCTTCCCTCCTTAGCTATTTTTACATCATAACACATTCAGAGCAGTTGCTCTAAATTTAGTGCCGGGGTGAGGCAAAAGCATCCATGAGGAGAGCAGAGGAGACACGTGGAACATATTGAAACACTTAAGTGAAATGAATCGTAATTGAACAGGTGCAGAGGCATAAACAAAGCAGACAGCTAAATGCACATGGGCCAGGGGGTCAGGAAGCAGGTGACATTGTTCACGCTGACAAAAAAATCACCTTGACAATGAACCAAATTGTGGCTCCGCCTCCAGACTCGTGTCACATCCGGGCAAACAGCCAATCATCACAATGACTGTGAACAGTGTACGTGAATAACAGGAGTTCTGGGGGGAGATAATAGCTTTATGCTGTCAGGGGTAGATGGAAGGAACTCTCCCAGGTCAAAGTATGGTTATAGTGAGTATGGTTATGGTATGGAGCCCAACACTGGTTGGAGCTGATCGTAAAATGTTCAAATCAGTATTCGTAACTGTTCTAAACTTAGTGATTTGCTTAAATTCATAGGTTGACAGAACAGTCATATTCAAGAGATTACCATAACATTTAATTTCTGCATAATTTTAGTCTTTAACAAACATCTCTCTTATCTAGAACTGCAGATTAGCACATGTTAAATATATGTTTTGTTTTCTCAATTAAATTCATAAGATAAACTGACATAAATAGTACTATTTTATTATTGTCATGAATTCCTTTGGCTTCATATCTGACATTATGACAGGTTTGGTTGAAAACCTTTCCCAGCTGCCTTCTTGAACCACCCAAATGCCTCCTGTTTGTCCAGTAACTACATCTGATTTCTTTTTTTCGGTCATACCTCCTTGTTTTCTCTTTTTGCCATGGTGAATGTGTCGTATCATGTTTCTCCACTTACAACACGTCCCTTTTCTGCTTTGCCTTATCATTTGATATGAGAAAAGAAGTTTGTTGTTTGGGAAAATAGCACTTCACAATGTATTTTTAGAGATCCTTAAATATGATGAGACCACAAGATTGTGCGTGTGAAGCTGAACAGTCATTCTTTAAACTGCCCTGTTTCTGAGCACACAGGCTAAAGCAGCAGGGGGGGTCGCGGCTGTTTTTCTCCGGTCATCTTTCTGTGAGGTCACACAGTCGCCTGTAACTGGATCCTCGGATCATTTTGCTGCTGACGACAGAAAACAGCAGCGGGTCAGCTGGAGCTGCAGACCGGCCGGGCCTCGTCCAGGCCTCACGGCTATTTTTACAACCACTCCGATTCAACCTGCTGGAACCTAGTCCGGTCAGTTTTTCTGTTTTTTGCGCGTCTATTCAAATGGTTCGCAACACTG